TAGCAGACCTTTGGAAGTCTTCCAACAGTGTGCAAGGCAGGTTATGGAAAAGCAGTAATAGTTTCACTAGGTGAGTAAAGCGGAGAAAATAGAAAACCAAAAGTAAGATCACTGTTCTGTTTCAAAGCAGCAGCTGAGTGTTGCATTATAAAATATATTAGTAAACCAAGCCTCATATGTGAGGCCTAGGAATAGCTTTGCAAAATCCCACAAATCCTCTACTTATCACAAGACAAGTTGCTGTTCAACCGGCAACAAACTATTAATTAATAAATATTTCAGTAGGCTGTGCTTAACTTCTGTAGGGTTCAGGAAACAACAGGTCTGCTCTACTGCTTTTTCTTTCTTTTTTTAAATAATATTTTAAAATATAACATATATTTTATAAATGTAACTTTGAACCACACTTTTGGTATCAGGAGCTTGTGAAGCAAGAGCAAAACATTAAAGAATTCCTTTTTTAGGGTAACTTACATGACCCTGCTTATTTGGAGACAAGTGAACCACAGGATCCTGTCTCATCAGTCTTCCACTGGGGCTCTCTCTGAAGGATGGCAGGACTTTTGACACTGCTGGGAGATGGCATGTTGGTTCTGCAATACAGCACACAACAATGTACTGAAGAGCATAAGCAGTGTAACAAACTAAGAAAATGTGTAATCTAATTGTACTCCGCAATTTTTCCAATACCACTATTAGCAAAAAAAGAATTAGGATACATTAAATGAAATTCATTCCAAATAAAAAAAAATAGTGTGATAAAACACGAGTGAGGCCTATTCCTGCCTGGCGTAAATCAGTAAGAGTTCATGAAGAAAAGAGCAGCCACCATCCTGGCTTTTGCTAGAACAACCTGAATGGTACCTACTGTCCAACAGCACTGCATCAGAGCATTAAAACACACTGAAAATGAATATTCCGCCATCAACTCCGTGTGTCTGTATGTGTATGCTGCCTGTGGACAAGAGATTAAAAAACCTGAAGATCCACACTTCCTTAAACTGTATTCTATGCAAAGCAGGACAATAGCAAAATTCTGCAGCCATCACTTCAGTGAACACATTTTCTCCAGTACAACTGCTACACGTATTTCCTGTCAAAGTAAAGGGAAGCTAAATAAACATTTTCTAATTGAAACGATAGAAAAAAAATATGTTGAAATCCCAATATTCCCTTACAAACTGATGACTGTGAATGTGGAAACTGCATGGAAGTACAAAAGCAAGGAAGATTTATTAAACTAAATCAGACAAAAGTGGTCAGAATTCAAATCATTCACCTTACATGGACACTCACAGGAATGATCTTCGCCAATTAAGTTTATTATTTCCTAGGAGACAACTACGGTGGTCTAGGGGCTGTTCAGACACAGCCCTTCAGGTAGGTAACTGCCTTTTCAGAGCAGAAGGTCAGTATTTTAAAAGGTTCTTCCTGAGTTGTACCTTTTAACCTGTATCTCCTCTCCTGTGGCAATATTCTGCACGTCTAAAAATGCTGCTTTTAGGTAGAATATAAGGTTATGAACATATATAAAGCTTATGACCATCACGGACTTAACAATACCCATGGTAATCAGCAGTGCTTTAAAGCTGCCCCAACACAGCTATGGTTTATCTTGATCTGCAGCACTACTAGCTTCAAAAAAAAAAACAAACCAACCCAAAGTAAAAAGTCTTCTAACTTCATAATAATAAATAAAACTTGATTTCCCCTGCCAAACGGTTAGGTGCACAAAGGTTTTCTGCAGCTCAGAATGGGCCAGGAAGGAGCGAGTGTGTGGATTCACCGCACCTAAAGCCTTGTTTACCCTGAGACAGATGGAAATGTGCTTATTTGGTACAGAACCAAAATTTCACCTAGATTCACCAGACTGGCACTAAAGTCAGAGATGCAGCTTCCAAGTGCGACTCTATGAACGCAGGACAATACACAAGAGAAAATGCAGAGATTATCTCCCAGTATGCATTTTCAGGCTTTGCCAAATGCCGGAGCCATCTTCTTTTTGGTCTTCTTTATTTATTTTGCTGATATGATGACACCTGACACTGCAGAACAGAACTTGCTGGCAGCTCCACCCAGTGCCAGCATCAACACCCAACTGTTGGTCTGTAAAAGTAATGCTGAGCAAAAGATCAGTTTTACATTTGTCGTTACCATCACAACAGTATCAAAACATATGCGATTAAAAGCCGTTCTGTCAAAATGAGAACTGCAGATCAAGATAATCACAGCTTTTTAGTGAAAAGTATGGGGGGAGCTGTGAGGGAGGGACTGGCAGATGGCTTCAGTAACAAGGCACAGCTCACTGAGGTTGTGAAGGTGTGTGAAGAAAAGTACGTCTCCAGAACTTGAGGCTGGCATTTGTCTTAAACTCCTGCTGATCTCACAGAACCTTATTCTGCGTTCAGCGCTTGTTCATCTATAGAGAACAAGAGCTGTGATGCACTGAAACAATGATTTGTGAGTGCAACAGAAAAAGTATGGAATTGTTTAATCTATGGGATCAAAGCTCGAGAAAACCAATCAAGCAAATCTTGACCATGGTCGTCAGGTCGGATCAATGCTGTCTGTAGACAGGGCATTTCCACTGGTGTCGATCTCACTGGTATCCACTCAAGTCAAGCCGTGGCTGTAGCACAAGGTCTATGTGCAAAAACTTCAAATGAAGGCTTAACAATGCAAATTCTCAGTGCCCAGCTGTTTAATGTAGTTAATGTGTTCCCTCAGCTGACAGCTTAATTGCTAAGTGCTATGGAAATGTATACACTGGTGGAAGGCGATTACCATGCTATAGATTTACTTCGCTATTTAAACTTTAATTGCATTTTTTTTCCATTTTGTACGTGGTGTTTTTATAGCTTTGATGATCAAACAATCAAATTGCATTTATACAGCACCGTCTGAAAGGGAGCATCACAAGCACTTTAGACAAACTAAGCAAAAATTAAACTAAGCCAAGCCACTCGGGAGAGTAGGTGAGGTCAAACAAGTCCTCAACAGCAAGACAAATTACTAAGTGTGTCTGCCCAACCCCCTCTAAAAGGGCCGAGTGTTTTAAGGTAGATTTAGTCTCACAGTTAAATGAAGAACTGCAATCAGTTCTTCCTCAGGTGACACTCACAGGTCTCAAGGAAACAGACTGCAGAAGCTAGTACGTGCTCCAGACCTCGTTATTCATCCCGACGAACAAGGTTAACTTTCAAAGACACTGAAAACACAGTGCTTCGGAGAGCTCTCTCGCTGCACGGAGAGGTAGTGCCAAAGTCACCTTGTGGTTAGCACCACTTGCTCATCGCAAAGGATTAATTACCTACCCATCTGGTCAGCGATACTATCCTCACTTCTTTGCCAGCTGGGTGTGGATTTGCCGCTACCACCCGTATCTGATTGCGTGTTCTGCCTGTCAATGGAAGCAGGGGATCTACGGCTAATTCCAAACCTGTTGTAACACCCCAAAAAACAAAGCAGATAAGGATATTAAACATGCATATATCTCACATAAGGAGAAAAGAGCACTTTTAAGCAGCTAGCATCAAACAAGAGGGCAGAGTAATGCATAGCACAACTGCTTGAGGGATTTATAATGGTTTTCTATTTAATTTTTGTGGCAGCTCCAGGACCCATTCAGCACCTTTAACACCTAAGATGACAGTACACATGAATTTATTGAGCATCTTGATAAAGAACATACAGTTACAGTGCATACAATTAAAAAAACCCAGATCCAAACCAGCCAGAAATAAAATTATTAGTTTTCATTTACATAAAAGTTTACAGGGAAAGGTGACCAGATCATTACATGGTTACAGAACATTGACCAAAATGAATAAAACTTAAAAAGTTTGGTGAAAGGCCACACAGGAAAATTAGATGTATTTATTTGGAACAGATTTCTAGGATGGATCCTTTTAACTGGGAAAGTTCTACCCCAATCTAGTCAAAGTAAGCATCAGAAAGTATGCTAGGACATTCCCATGGATCTCGGCCATTTTCCTGGGTTCTGATCAAAAGACTAATAAGGTGATACATACCTAGGTAATGCAGACACACATGCAAACAACATTGATTAATCTGGGGCAATATCACACTGCCAAGCATTTTAATTAAGAGTTTATGAACTTGACTGTATTGGTTATGGACTCCCAAAAGCTGGGAGGTATAAATTCTGTAAATTACAAAGTTATCGGACCATAAAATAATTGGAGTTTACTGGTGTAAACTAAATACAGGTGTAGGAAAGCAGTGAGACATGTATACCTATTGCTGTAGAAGAAAGCATACAGAGTTTGACCCACTTTTTGTAAAACCTGCTGGATTGGACAGATGGATTTTGGAAAGCGCCAGAAAGTAAACTCAAGGAGAACAATCTGATGACAAAGGAGACAGTGCCTCTGTACCATAGCAAAGTCTACATGCATTATATGCCTGGAAGTCTGTAAGAATTAAGTCTATAGTTCTGTAGAATTAAAATACAATATTAATCATAAACAATTCAGAAGTAAGAATTATAGTTGGGTTCAGGATTAGCGATTCAATCATTAAGCATTTTGTCAAGAAGAAGGTACTTCGGAGTTTCTAGGTGGGGTTTTTTTGGTGTGGGTAATTCTCCCTCCCACCCCCATCAGACATACCCTGAAGACAATTCTACCAAGGCTCTACATGTACAAAGTAACACCCAAGAGAATTACAAGTTGAGCCATTCTCTATATATCTCAAAGATTTTTCTCTAGTTTTAAGCATCTAACACAATAACAGAACACTGTGGCCCAAACTGTGCTTTCTACTCACTCTACTAGCTACAGGCTGTGCCACAAGACCTCCAATGTAGAAAGACATCTGCCATTAACAGAAGAAATTCTACGTGGTTACCCCATTTGAAAGTTGATGTACTTGGTAACTCAAATGAGCCCATCAAAGAAACATCACATGACTCAGAACAACAAAATCCCTCTCCTATCCTTAGACAAGCAGCTGGAATGTGCATGTACATACAGCACAGCTCCAAAATGTCACATTTTGAAACTTGAGCCTTCTATATTTTACCGACTTCCCTTCTGTTCACCTCTCCCTGGTACAGCCAACACATGGTTTGATGAAGTGAAGAACACCTGGATGTGTCTGACTTTTGAACGCAAACAATTTAAACTGAAACAGCATGATGCGAGTGATACGGTTCCTTTTCTACCCACAGAGCCTAGCTGGGATTTCACTTAATCAAATACCTAAATTAAACATTATGAATTCAATAGACACATAACAAGTCTAAAAGCCTAAAGTCTACGTTTCAAAAGCTGATTGATTCTTTAAACACTGAAGCCTCACCTCAGGAAGACTACCTACAGGACACGGTGTCCCCTTGGCAAGGTACCCACTCCAGCCCACCTCTTCCCTCCAACACCTTAGCAATTGAATGCTACATCATCTCTCCCCTGTTTAACAACATAAACAGGTTAATCACTGATCAACGCTACCTGGTACGTCAAACATCACTACAGAGCTGCCCTGTATCTAACGGTCTCATATGAATCACAACAGAAGCTGTACATGGGACTACAATGTTTTTTTAGTAATGTGACAGACATTACTTTGCTTACTGAGGCAAGGGAAAGTTTCCTTCATAAATCCATTGTTCAAGCTTTCCATTTAGCCTGGTAGAAAACATTAGGAAAGTCCTGAGTAAATATCATTCATGTTTACAAGGACAGTATGGGAGGCAAAGTGCTTTTCCTACAAGAATACAACATAATAGTGAAATAACTGGAGTTTAATAAGTGATTTTTAAAAAAATCAGTAAGGAACATGCAAAGATCTTCTATTAATTATGTCTTTCATTATTGCATTTAAGCAGCGTTTTACTTGCACTGAATTAGAGCTTCGATACCAGAAAGACTGTATATGCAAGGTTTCTAGGACACATCTCTGTTGAACTTGCAAAATGCTGAAAGAACACTGCAGCAAACATATGTGTATAATTAACCTGAGAGATGGAAAAGGGTTGGGATGGGTGACGGCGGGCTCCGAGGTCAATTGAAAACAAAAACCCCAGCGCATCTGAAAACCCCCTTCCCACTCAAGCAGTCACGGTTGTGATGGTTTAAGGACATATGGCAGCAATACCTTTTTTATAGAGCAAATGACATCGTTGCAAAAGAGCAGACAAGATATTGGGAGCACAAGCTGCTCTTCAGAACTCAAGGCAACTCATAAGGGTTGCCAGCATGAACGAGCCGGGGAGTACGCAGCGCATGAAGACGTTAAGAGCTTTTTCCAGCTGCAAGGCTCTGGACACAGTTCTGTTTAGTTTCCTTACAGCCAAGTTTAATGGGTTTAGAGCAAATCTCCTAATGTGAGTAGGACTTTAAGCACAAGCTTAAATGATGACCTCAACAGGCCTGATATTCTCAAGAGTCAAAGCCTTCAGGAAGGTGCGCAGCAGAGGAGAGATGGCCACTTCAGAAAACCTCAAGCTGCAAGAAGGACAGGGAAGGCAAATCTTCAATGTTCTGGTGCAAGAAATGGCACTTATCAAGCACATGCTCAGAACAGCATTCTCTGGATTGACAGAGAGCAGTGTCCCCATACAGGCACCTAAACAGGCAAAAGACACTGCCTTGTGCTAAGCAGTTCCTGACAGTGGTATTTAATCTTACTAATAATGTATTTTTCCAAATAGAGAAAAAGATACTTGTACTTTATAAAAGACTCAAACCACAATGAATTACACACAACGACCTGCAACGTACTCAAGAAGACTTCAGAGGGAAGCTTTGCAGTGTGAACTATCAGCACTTTTGCCTCTTCATCTTCTCTATCGGAAGTAATTTGGAACCTGGTAGATAGCTCTCCTGCTGCCAATTATTTTTTCCCTGACTTGGGAGACGCTTGATTTAGCTCTCCTTTCAGTGCTCTCTGAAAATGATACATATTTCATTTCTCCCTCTGTAAGTTGCCCCTTATGTTGACACTGGAACACTTCAGAGAGTTTGAAGACTTCTGGAAAGTTGGAAGAGAGCACCTTAAAACAGGATGACTGTGAATATGTGAAAAAGATGCTAGCTGTGGATTACTTAGCACTTTTGTGCCTACACATCTGAAGTCTTAGTTGTGCTCAACACTACTTTGCTTCAACTATCAGCACAGACTGCAGCCCCAAATCTATTACTAATTTTAGAATCTAAACCTGTGAAATGAAGCAATTTGTAGCATGAAACCAGCACCTCTAACAAAGATTTTTAAAAATATGTAAAGGTCCTTTTGCATAGTAACCTGAGCAGCTCTACACTAGGATCAGAGAGAGCGCACTTAGGTCACAAAGGGAAAAGGTGGAAGCAAGGGATTTTTCAAACTGACATTTTCAAGAAGCATGACGGTGATATTTGAAAACAATCATGTTTTAATACATGTAAACAACAGCTGACAGGACACCATATAAGCACTCCTTTAGTTTAATATACTTTACAACAAATGGAACAGAGAATAAAAAAAAACTTGCCTAAAAAGAATATGAAAAAAGTCTGGTGCCTACCCTTCTGGCATAGATTTTTGTCTGTATGTGCCCCCACCAGAGCCAGTCTCACTTGAGGATGATAAGTTGCTTGGAGAGTTACGGCACTGTTGCGACCTCGCTAAGGCGATGGATGAAACCGTGACGTAGACATCGGAACCGGGAGACAACCTGCGCAGAGCAAACGAACCAGTCAAGTTAGCAATAATGACCAGCAACACCATACGGCAAGGTACGACAGACATCATCATACAATTTGTCACATCGGCAAAGCCGTCACGTGGCGTCACACAGACAGCAGAAAGGAAGTCAGTTGAAGGATCAGACATTTCCCCCTTAATAACCTATTGGAAACCATGAAAAATCATCTGTAAAAATCTGGATGCCTGGGAGTAAATGAAGAGAGGCAAGCGTGGGAGGAAAATCCCGGCACACCCTAGGAAAGCAACCCAGTTTCTAAAGGCCTGATTTGTTTTCACAGATTACTTGTAAAGAACAATGAAGCATGAGGTTCCTCACCCAAACACCGAACAGAACGAAGTATTTCCTATTCTCAAAACAAACTCTTGCCTGGAATTTAAACTAACTGCAGTGAGCTGAGTCTTCCAAGACTATCAAGCTTATCTCCATGCCACAAAGCTTGCCCACATTAAATCACAAGGACTACAAAAATCTGATGTTATTTATGACCACCTTAAAATCCCCCCTAAAAACTTCACACTCTAATAAAAAGCTATCTCAACATGAGAACTGTTTGAAAACACAGACCTGTGTCATATGAAGCCTTGTCCTGTCCGAATAAACGTACAGCAAATAAACGGGCTGGAATTGCAACACATGCACGTGGGCAGAAAGGCTTACACTGCTCAACTCGTATATCCTGTTCTGTATTTGAAGGCTTGCAGAGATAATTTACTGCCCTGTGCATTTTCTTTCCCAAACCCCAACCAAGTTCACTGCTGCTAGCTAGTTTTTTGTTCTACTTGGTGGTGACTGAAGCCACTCAACTTCTGTAGCGATTTAAGTGGAGTTGGAATTGCACCATCCATGAACGTCAAAATCCTACTGTAAACGCAAACCTCTACTCATTTTAACTAGGAAAAAATACTATAAAAGTTAAATTGCTATTTAACTTGTGCGACATTTCAAAAACACACACAATTAGTTGCCTCGGTAGAAAACGTGGGTCTGGGGATTAACAAGATCCTAACCCAGCCACTTAATCTCTTTCTGTAAAGGAGTGGCAGATTTCAATCAGCTCTCACCACAATACTGCATGAACTTTCAAAGTTCAAAAACTCTTCTGAAAATGAAAAAAGCATTGCACTGATTAATGTTACTTTTGTATGTGTATATATCTGAAGAGTGTGCGTATATGCATCTCAAATGTGCATTTGTCCCCCTCAGTATTTAGCAGTAAACTAACAAAATCTTAAAACAGAAGGAGCAGTATAACTAGACTAAACATCACGATCATCTGGAATTTCATAATTCAGATGAGAGTATGACTAATAGTAACTCTCTTTCCCAGACAAGACTGATCCAACGCCTGACCATCACAAATACCACACCAAATCCAGTAATTCCCTTATAGCCTACTGAGTTGAATTCAACTTCTCATATTTACTGAGCTACAATTCTGAAATATTTGACTGCAAAGAACACAGTTCAAGAGCTGGAAACTTGGGGAGCTGTGAACCAAGCAGTTAATTTTCCCAGCAGCACTCAGAAAAAAAAAATAGTTCCACCAACAAAAATACGTGCTTTCAGTAGCATTCGCCCACCTATATAGGCACACACATTTAAACTCAGTTATGCTTGCAGAGCAATACACAGTTTAAAAGTGTGACCTTTTTTCCCAATACCTTATTAGAATTTATGTCAAGGAAACCAATTACTTCTTGAATAATTTCTGCAAGATGATTTCCTGGTGGAAAATGCTTACATTTTCACTTCAGATTCAGCTATGCTTTTTCTTTACTTCCTATGCCTTACCGAAAGTGACAGCACTGGTCAGAAGGAACAGCAAGATTTCAGAACTATGTCATAGAGTTGTAACTCATTTGCAAAGATGAAAGGCCTCAAGGGCAAACAAAAATGAATGTGGTCTGAACAACAGCAACGCACAGCCAGTCAGGTAGGACGTCCTATTTAAAACAGCAATACACTTTGTTGGTACAGGTCACAATAGCACTAAAAAAACAATAGTGAAAGACATTTCATTTTATGTGAAACACCTAAATAACACAAAGAACGTTAGAGTAAATTAGTTCAAATTGACTTTTTGAGCTGCTCTGTAATCTATTGATGACAGGCACTTCCCCAGACAAAGGAGTACTGTGTTAGCAGTATGCCCCTATAGTTAAGACATTCAGTGCTTGTCTTTTATTTATAATCAAAAACCAAACTAAAACAAGCTATTATCTATTTCAAAAGACAGCTTTAAGAAATTCCAAAATGGTTAAGTGCATGAGTCCTATATTTGAATTCAAAAATAGGCCAAGCACCCATTGCATTCAACATATACAATCACATTGCATTCAACAGACCTGGGATTATACCATGCATGATTAAGTTCTAACAGATCTAGTTCATCCTGAAAGGACCGGTTGAGTCCTGCCAAGCATGGGAAGAAAATCATCTTTTGTGAAGGCAGTGAGTAGGATGAGTGTAAGTTTGTTTTGTATGACAACACAGACGTTGAAAGCATCCATCTTGCTCTTTACTTCCATGTCATTAGGTGTAATTTTCTCCACGTCTTCACTATGTGTCGGTACGTAATACACACTTTGTAAGAAAAATATCAGTCTACAATGTTTTGTGCCTATGGCTTAAGGCAGTCTTTAGTTAGACAGAAGGCACCATCACGCAGGTGCCTTCTCCCTCAGGACCTCTGCCCCACACACGTATCCGTGCTTCAGCTTCTCCTGGCAAGAGCTGCACAGCTCGGAAGTGAAGGAAGCATAGGCTAGCGGAGGAGAACGGATGGTCTTACAGTCAAGGCATTTCAGTGCTGACTTTGCAAACTGAATTCTTGTCTTGCACTGGCTGCCGCACTCCAGTATGACCACTGGCATATTTGTTAAAGAAAATTTTTCATTTGTTGTCACTAGCTGCAAGTTTCTCAAAGGCCTTGTTTGATTCCAAGGCCTGATTTACTTCTGAGCTAAAAACTTACCAAAGCACCTGAAGCTCTAATTTGAATATATAAAACATTAACAATGCTGGGCAGACTTTCAAATATGAGATGCCCAAAATCAGACACAGCGAATGATTAGAACATAATTTCTCTCTCTTCCTTCATTCCTGATCCAAAGAGGGCCAAAGACATCTCTTCTCAAACAAGAGTTTGGAAAATTAAGTTTAATTAGTAGCCGTGAAGCATTCAGGAAGTATAGTAATGGGCGCCACTGTAAAGCTTAAGAGGAGAATTAATAATTGCATCTTTACAGCAGGATTTGAATGCCATCCAGTAAATAAGGGATGGAGTAATGAAGAGGAAAATAAAACATTAAATAGCTCTTTTTTAATGAGCTGCATCCACTGTGTGAACTGAATGAGGCAGATGTCCTCTGTTAAAAGAAAATCTCATAATTTGATCAGAGGAAGTGTCAGAAAATATGGTTACACAAGAATTCTGAACAAAACTGCACAGCAGATCTAAATTCTGGCATGTTTACCTTCCACGTGTTTGATTTTTGCAATCCTAATAATACTGCAAGATGTGACAGTTCCCTAAAAACACTGACTCAACGCTCTCGTGTTAAAACGGAAACCAAACCATTCAAAAAGGAAAAACGACCAAGCAATTTTTGGGAAGGGGATATAGCAAATGGAACAGAAAATGCTGTTCATACTGTAACTTCTGTCATACTGTAATGCTGTCATACTGTAACTTCTGACACCATGCTGCCTACCTTCTTGAATTTGATCATCTCGTTTCAGAAAACACATATTGGAACAAGAAAAGTAACAGAGGCAGGCAGTGGGACCACCAGAGGTACAGAACGGCTTCTGTATGAAGGAACGCTGAATAGGCTACATGGCTCCATGGATTATAGAGAACTTTATCATACCTGCTTCAACCCACCCAAACATTAATTATATTGAATGAAGCAAGCAAAATTATTATTCATTATCCCCCACATAGGAGACTTGGAACTATCCAGAGACCAAGGAGCAGGGACCTGGATGAAGAGATATCCCCCACAGCTTTTAAACACAGCAATACAGGTGCATCCAGCTCCAGGAGACTGTGGGATCCAATAAGGAGTACTCCTTTACACTTGTAAGCATTCTTATGCTTTTCCCTGGTCCCTCCTGTCAAACAAGAGTGACCAACTCTTGATGTGACAGAGTATGGCTCTTCTCGGATGTTTCTGGCATGCAAGAGTTTGGCCATACAGCCAGCCGTACCAACAAACCTTTGATTTTCCACTGCGACATCCGGCTCTAGGTATTGGTGCCAACAGGAAACGCATAATCTCATGTCAGTACATGTTTTAATTTGAACAATGTTACGAAAACTTTAAAATAACATATCCTCAAACCCTGTGGGGTAAGCAACGCACTCGCTACAATGCTCACTGCCAGGTGGCAAGATGAGCACAGGCACCTGCTTGTTTATATTAGGAATACGTCGCTGATCCAAGCTAAACAGCAGCAGATTAGGGTTTTTATAAAATATGGGAACAGTTGAAACTAGAATTTAGCTGCAGGAATTAACCTGTAAACCACTACAGGCACAGTTACTGTCCCTGACTACACACAAGCGTTGTTCAAAGAAGTGTGACGTTTTAGGGCAGGATTGTGCTCCAAAGTCCTCAGTAAGACTCAAAACCAGTCTCAAAGAATATTGTTCTAATACTTCCATATTATGGAATTTTACAGCCAGTGCTTGACTGCAGCCATGCCGTAATTCATTTTTCCATTTGGTTATAAATACTGACTGCACTTAGAAATTTTCTAGTGGAGTTTTGAGCTTTCATCCCATACCGCACAGAACTGCATCCTTTGCTCCCTGGTTTTCACACTTGTCAAGTATTTGTTGAATCAAGTTTCAGTCAAGACCGGTTCCAGTTTACCATAAGTGAATTAAGAAGAGATTATCATCGAACACTGTCTTGTCTCCTATCCCTGCACATTTTCTTCTTAATAAAATCTGGAAACCAAGTGTAGGAAACAAAATCGGAAAATGAGGAGGGAAAAAAGTATCAAGCTCTAAAATTACACCTTCTCCAATAACATTAGCTCTGGTACGCTTCACATATACGTAGTTTATTGTTGTTTTCCTTAATGCATCACTCTGATGTTTATTCTGGGTTATAGGCTATATAGTGTCCGATGTGGACCAATTAATGTTGTAAAAGAAGCCATAACTTGGAACTTAGTGCATTTCTATTATTAGATTTTTCAGTCTTAATGTTGCAGTAACATTAGAGATGTATTTTAAGAGCCTTAAGTTCTGGGTTATTTTTCCTGCTTACAAATATGCACATCAATCATGAATACATTCAAGGAGCCAGGATACTATGAGGAACTGGGGGAATTTAAAAACGTAAGCTAGTGAGTTGGATACATGAAGACAATCCAACACAGGTGAATTTAAATACTCTTCTGGCTAGGCACAGGACTGGGCATGCCTGCCTCCCCAGAACCAGGGTGTGTCAAGCAAGCCATTCTCCCACCTGTAACAGCAGTGTCCACAGGGAGGCAAGATGTTTTCATGTAGATGAAGTGAAATCCTTCTGTTCTCAAGGTCCGTGATACAGCTTTTATTTATTTTTAACACAGTTAAATGGACTAAAGTGAAAATACCAAGAGGCAAAAATTATTCCACTCAATACCCACAGAGACTGTAGCTCTATAAAGTGACCATCAGTCAAATATCACCAGCAGGTAATTCAAAGAGTTACACCTGTATTCCCTGTCCTCTGAGAGCACTTTGTACTGGGAGAAACACTTGTCTATTAAAGCTCTTTTCATTTAAATTTAATCCCTCAAATATTTTTTTTTCCTAAATACTTAATATAAGTCATGGACTTCCTGCTGATAGGTTACCACTAAAACATGTATCATGTCAGGTCTGATATGTCAGAGATACTATAATGCCTGTATTTTATTCTTTGAATTCCTAACGAATTGGCTAACGATTGTACTGACCTGCTACAGTCCTGGGTGACTGCTACCAATGCTAGTTCCAAAAAACATTTCAGATTCAGCCCTCAAAGAGCCACATGGATCAATTTACTGTGGGTTTCTCAGATGCCACATCCCTTAAAACACAGACGACAAACTATAGATTTCTGTTTCTTAGTGGCAAAATGAGATCTGCCATCAGTGTCACTACACCCGGCTCCGTAAACAAAGACCATTCAGTCAAAAGCCAGGAGCAGGGAGGGATAAACAGCACCTTGGCTCTCAAAACACTAAGTCTTAAGGTCAGTCAAACATCAGCGAGTCCTAACTGTGACTCGCCACTGCAGGAACACAAGCGATAACACTATAGCTATCTAGCTACAACCGAAGATTAAAACTGAGGTTACAGCTAGCACTTAGTAATGAAATTACTTGCTGATGCTGATCTTCACAGGTAGGTTTCCAGCCCCACAGACAACTAGGCAGCACCTTCTCTTCAAAGTGAAGCTCTAACAGTAGAATAAGGAAATCTAGGATTTCTGTGGTACTTTACTAATGAGCCAGGATGATGGGTGCTTTTTTTCTAAAATCTTAAAATTGCTTTGTAGAACATAAATACTGCAGAGAGAGACATGCTGAAGTAGCCATCTTGTATACAGTTGGGTTGCATTTATAATTATGTTAATTAGAGAGGCCTTTTCAGACCCCAGGCACCACCAGCACAGATCTCAGTACCCGTATTACCAGGTTATCCTTGGTCCTCCATTCCTCCAGCTGGGCAAAGCACAAATCGTAGGGGGCAAAGCCCAGCAGAGCAGCATCGCTGCTACCTGCACCAGAAACATGCATAGGTTCTAGCACCTCCTCGTAGGGGACCTTTATGCTAGGGAAAGTATGAAAGTTAACAGTGAAAAAATAAATGAGACAGTACTTAAGAGGGCTATGGCAATCTCATCTTTGCTGATTTTAGAGATTTTGTACAATAAGAAGTATCTGATCTTCCCCAAAAGCAAAGCTTTCCTTCTATCATGCAGAGAAAAGACAAGTTTTAGAGTGAGCTTACTGCCTTTTTTTTTTTCCCCCTCCAGAAGTCCTTTAAAATGACAAAAAGGTATTTTTCTCCACTTTAACTGGAAACCTTATGCAGCTGCTGTTACATTTAAACTTGGTCGAGCCAAGACTAACACATTTAGCAGACCAGAAAGATAAGACATTTTTCAGACACTGAAAAAAATTCCCAGCCAAACTTAAAAACTACTTTGATAATATACTTTTAAGGATTAAAAGATCCACTGGAACCATTTTTGAATAATAATAATATCTTAAAAGAATGTCTAGAGGAGTAAAACCCCAGCTACAAGCCTTGAAAATGAAGGAAATGGAAAGTCAGTTTGACTTTTCGAAAACAAATCCTGAGTATATGGAAATGTAATTTGCTCTCTGCAAACATTTATCAGGCCATAACCCCCGTCTAAAAGCATCCAGTGACTGGATAAATCTTGGATGCTTTAGATGTGCGACGTTGCCCACAGAGGAATTTATGCACAAGAAAAACAAAGTTAATAACAGTCCGTCTCTTGGTGAAGCCAAAGGCTCACTCCCCTTGGCCAGAGTTGTGGAACAGCCAACGACACCCGAGACAAAACTCTTTGGTTAATACCATGAAGAGGTGGAAGCACCCGAGAAAGACTCAACTGAATCTGATTCTTCTGCCACTGCCATAAACTTTGCCCAGGCATTAGCGTTCCTTCCATAATTACAGAGTGAGATTCTACACCACTGGAGAGAACAAAAAACCCCAACGCCCCAACCCCTATTCCTTCAAATTCAGCATCTGCTCGCCTTCAACCGTAACATGTGTGGCCACGCTATTTTTACAGTGGTCCAAATCTTTAGTTTTTATGTTTGCCTGTGAAAAGGGTTGCAGGCCATCTTATCAGGCTGTGACAATGCTTTCAGTGCTGCAAATTTTCTTTTGCAACTCACACTGCTGGGAGCTTTCAGTATCCACCTACTGAACTTGCATAAAGCTACAACGAGGGGGGCACTCTCTGATCGTTTTGAGTGCAGAAGTACAATCGTGTAATGACAATGAACGTAAGAAAATGAAGTCCTTAACAACTATTATAATTTCTTAACAATGTGTCCTACATGGTAGTTTGAATTTCTTTGTCTTGGCTGTACCATCTTTGAATATTTTTTTTTAATCCCCAATTTTTCAGGATGTAAAAAACCCTTTAATCCAATTCATTAGAGTTCTCTACGTTTTCCACAATATGCATCTGATTTCCACTGCTTCATATTTTTTCCAGCAATGGAGCATGATCAGAATTTGTCTACGGCTTTTTTTTTTTTAAAGGAATTGTCCAAAATAAAAAGCTACAATCTTGTTTCCCTCAACAGATCTCTTTGTAAATGCAGAGACAGTGACAGATTTGTATGGATAATGAAAACAATGACAGTTCATTTGAATACTATCAAATACATCTTTTTCCATGAACGAATGAATATACTGTGACAGGATGTGCCTGATACCTTTATCTTAATAAATAATCGTTTTCTTGTTTAAAAAACCCAAACCAACAAAAGACACCCTAAACCACCCTGGAGAAATGCAAATGTAAACTAATATCTTCTCTAGCCTAGAAAGTTTGAAAACTCCCCAGAAAAATTTGCTTTCTGTGCTGGTCAGAATTCTCTTGCTAAACACCCTGTTCGATGAATAGCATCTCTCTCTGCCTTGAGGCCTTGAGGCAATTTTGCCAAGCCTATAAACAAGCTCAAATTTTGATTTACTACTTCAAAATGCAGAAGTTCAGGAATACTCGGATCTAAAACTCTGAGTGTAACTCACTTAAGAAGTAAGTAACAAAACAGCAGTTTCAGAATACCATCTAACACAGGGAATCATAGCCTAACACTTCATTTTGCGGTTAATCGTGCCAGGAAGGGTATTGTCTTTTGGCTAATGTTTCGCTTGTATTCATGTTGCCTTTTGACTAATTAAAACCAACATTAAAAGTGGTCTTCTGAGACTTAGATAAATCCGTCATGCTTTTTTCCAGGTGAGATTCTGATTCTGAGCAACAATGAAAAGCTATTTGTGAAGAAGACACGTACCTACGGCTCTCCAACGGGCGCCCATCACTAGAGATGCTTCGGGGGATGTTGGCTGCTCGTTCTGGAGGTGGCATTTTCCCTTCTCCTTTCCCAGAGCCAATCCTCGATGGTACTGGACTTTGCATTTGGGATGGTACCTGAGCCATATGAGGTCCCTGTCCTTTGCCTGCATTTCGCTGCCATTTGTTGTTATTTCTGAAGGGAAATTTGAATTCGTACGACATTCCTTCATTCACTTTGTATTCCATCACTGGCATACGGTAGTTTTCTGAAGAACTCCTGGAAATGAAGAAATTTAACATGCTGCTGTAAAAAAATAAAAATATCCTACAAGGATAGATATCTGAAGACGGAATCTGTATGAAACAGTAAATGTAATGTTTTACTTTTAGAAGCATATATTTAACAAACTGTGATACTCTTCATCTGATTACTGGGTCCTAAAAGCTTAAAAAGTCTGTTAGAAGGGTATCTTCCCTCCCTAATTTAAAAAAAGTCATGGGTTTTAGAACTTACCTGCACCCAGACAAGTAAGACCGGAAATGTTTGGGTTTTTCCAAGATAAATCTTTCTGAGGCACAGACACCCAGGAAAAGACAAGATTCCCATTAAATAATGCATTACACTCCATTTTCAAACATCTTTGGCTTTGGAGTACCTCAGTTGATAAATTTTCACATTATGAAAATAAAATACGTGCTAAAAAAAAAAATGTATATGCCAGTCTCAAAATATGCCCTTTGCTTCCTGAGCATGTACAGGATCAGGACAGCCTAACATCTGGGGTAAAACAGGACATAAGCTAATGCAGTCCACATGAGATGCACGGCAAACTTCTGTATACGTTTCAACTGGCAAGTTTGGAAAGCAGATGTGACCTCCAGTTTTGGTGAGGATACTTTTGGTATGTCTCTTGTCAAATGTATATACTACTAAGTGAATTTTTAAATTTTTGATTACTTTGTTTATCTACACACATCATTACTTAATGGGTAGAAAAAAAATAAACAACCAGTGCAAAATTTTCTACTTCTAGCTCTTCTCTTAAGTGATTCCAACATTAGTGCTGCGAAAGATCAGTATTTCTTCTCAGATAAGATGCAAACCATAAACTGTTATCTAGCTATGCTGACATGAGCAAGTTGTGCAGTCTAAGAGGAGCAAACAAAGTGAAACAGCCAGTGCTGAGGTCTTGCTGCCCACAATATACACATTTTGTGGTTTTACTTTGGCCTACCCTCTCGTCTCGACCTGCGAACTGAATTAGCAGTTGGAAGGCACTAGGTGTGCTTCCGAAACACATGTAGCTCAGCTTCACCTGAAAGGACACGCTTGTGTACTTCAGGTCACTCTGATGTGAGCCACTGCATGGCAGATAGGGATGATCAGGAGATTTGTCTTCAAAGTCCACTCACAAACGAAAACCTTGATATTCTTGTTTTTAATTTTCTCTTCATAGTTTACGTCTCTGCTATTCTTTCCTTAATAATTACATACTTCAGTAATTTGGGTTTCTCTTTTTTTGTGCATAGTTACAGTTTAAGAAGCAAGAATGAACAATTTCCTCTTGCTGCTGTGTCCTTAACTTCAAGGTCAGCAGTCAATCCACTACATTAAAACACTGCCATTTGACTCATAACCATCTTTTAGCAGAGATATAACCATTACACGGGCTGCCTCTTTGTAGGGCATTAGACTGTGAATCAGGGTATTTGGATATAGTTTCGTATCTGCTACTGACCTTGCACACATGCCAGCTGGCAAGTCGTCTTATCTAACTGCAACCCTGCTCTTCCTACAACTTCATGCCAATCAATTTATTAGGCTAGGGACTGTTTCTCAGGAGTCTACCATACAAAGCAGAACTGATCTTCGTTTTAGTTATGGTCTGTAGAAGTTAATGTAGTAGAAATACTAAAGGGACTCCAGAGGACACAGTGGAAGGTCTCCAATTTTGGAAAACATACTGCCAAAGTAGAAATTGCTTTGTGCAGAAATTTAAGTCTCTAGTAGCGTATGTAGGACAGCTACAAATTCAAGATACAGTTTCTAAACCTTAACAATTTTAGATGCAGCAAGCAGTATCGAGAGTTCCTTGATGACATTTTGTAATTTGGTAATAACCCACCATGAACCTTTGCTCATGACAAGACAACAAAACTCACTGATGCTGAGTACAGTATTTCAAAAAGTTCAGTAATTTCTCTCCTGCTATGAGTTTGGTTACACTAAAGCTAAGCATGCTTTTGGCTGTACTTAATTCAGTTCAGGAATAATAGGATGTGTGCTTTCCACATAGATTTTTCTGCTCTAATCCTTTTGCTATGATTGCAGCTGAACTTCCATTTGCTCGGGCTGCTAAATACTATACAAAAGCTTTCCAAATACCTCATAGGTGACCTTGTGCCATTGCTCATTTTAATCCCTGACACGTATTCAATTTTCCACTGACAACTAAAGGACAAATAAAACACCTTTTCTCTCTGCTCCTGTTTCCCTACCACATACAAAAGGAGTTAATATGGTTCACAGTAAAACCAGACATATTCTTTTATGCAAGTACATGGTCTTTGATACGAAATTTTGTCTCTGAGCAATGTAATAAATATGCACTTCAGTTCAGCCCCAACCTTAAGCACACGAAAACTGAGCATCTACCCCTACAAAGTTACTGCCTGACTAGAAAACAGCAGTGCAAAATGCTCTCTCTGTCTGTATCTGCAAGGAACACACTGAACTTTGGTAACTGGACTTGATGCTTTTTGGCAAATCTAGCCTAAACCTTGTGCTAGTCTGCAGGCAAATTCAGTCTATTTAAGATCATACCAATTTAATCATATGGTATTTGCAAGACATTAATACACGATGTCAGGAATAGGGGAATCAGATTCAGTGACGTGGCAGAATGCTACAGACCACTGCAGAGTTCCGATGGGAGCAGTAAAAATTTAAAAAGCTTTAGTGCGAGTTCAGAAAAAAATGGAGGGACTTAACGTCCAATTTACGAAAAACCCCCACGTATTAGTGCTTATTTCTGATCAAGCAACATTTTCAAGCTATAAAAGCAATAATACAGTTGACACAAGCCTCAGGCTTAACAGTGAGAGAGGTGCAGCAAGATCTACTACTGAGTAAAGAATTAGTTTTCAGCAATTTCTCTGTCCAGTTCCGTATCTTTGATATAATCTCATCATTTACAGCCTTACTTATTTGGGAAAGTAGAAGAATGTAAGTCTGTTCATAGCTTTCAAGAGTTACAGCCACAGACATTGCAATCTACCAAGAAATGGGGAAGCAGGGAGGGAAATTCTGATTCTGTGTGAACTGTACAATTAATTTTGATGCGTCATAAACACACAACAGTCAACCAGACCTTGTCTGATTTCCGTGTTAAATTCCATGGAATTTAAAGGATATGTGAGGTTTTTCACACATTTTATTAAACTGTGGGATTCAGTGAGTATTTTGTGGGCCCTCAAGTTCAAGTATGGACATTTATTCCTGACCTCCTCCACCCTACAAGACTAGATGCTATAACTATGCCACGTGGTGTTTTCTTTCCCGCCGGCCCCACAAATCAAGATGTGATTTCAGACCAAACGTAGCCGTTACACAATACCTGCGTGGCGTGCAGTCCTCATACGGAGGGACGATGACGACCTTCACTGTTACCGATGTTCTCAGCAGATCAATCATTTGCTCGTGGCTCAGGGTGGCTACAGCCACCTTACAGATTTCCACCAGCCGGCTGCCTTGTCGCAGTCCTGCCTGCCAGGCGTAGCCGTAGGGCTCCACATCTGCCACAATGCCTTCGTAGTTCACGTGGAAACCAAGCTGGCCCAGACCATTCCTACGCAGAGTCATCTCCACCGTTTCACAGCCCTTAGTCACAAGCTGTGAATTGGAACGAAGACAGCGTTTAACGCGCGGGGAGACCTTCTAAGGGCTCCATTTCTGTACAAGCAACCAACTCCCAAGACAATGGTGGGGCACGGTTATGGAATAAATATCAGTGTCCTGGGTACATAATCAGTTGAAACAGGTCCTGTCACTCAAACTAGTATTTTCAGTAGAGTCTGGTTACCCAAACTCTGTCTTTACATTCTTAGCGAAACCACAGGAATTCTAGGAGGTATGTGGCAGCACACAGCAGTAAAACTCATGCTGTTACAAAAGCATCTCTACTTTATCTTTTATGCTTCAGTAACTGAATAACAATTCTACATTTTTAGCTCTTTCCATGAACTGCAAGATTACATTCAGTCAGAACGTGGAGGCAGGCAGCTACTAAGCACAGTAAACCGGGGTCTATGCCAACGCTATGTACCAGGAGCATGAACACCAAGAGCAATTTAAGAGGGCCTGCTTTTCCCTTTTTCCTGATCATTATACAACTACAGTTGTGAAATTGCAGGAAAGGCAGTGAGACATAACACATTCTTTCATAACTGAATTGGATAAAAATGCACATGGACACATGTTTTATAGAGAGATAAAATAAAAATGCAGTGAATCATGTTATCACACACATTCAGAGAATATCCGAGGGTTGCAGTAGGTATTGGGACTGCACCCTGCTGGCAACATAAGTCAGTCTCAAAGATATTACAGCTTTGTTTGAAACAAGACAGAACAAGCCTATAAACAGAGAAAGGGAAGGAAAATGAGGAGTAAGGGGACACTTCTGTATTTACTGTGTGTTAGCAATTTATGCATCTGAAGGCCCAGCTTTTTTTTTTTTTTTCATACATACATGATCAACCGAGGTTGGCTGATATCTGATAAATAGGAAAGTGATGCTGGATTTTGAGAAATAAAAGCAGGACAATCCTTATAGATATCATGATAAACAACTAGAACAGTTTTAGGGATACTAAGAACTACTGAAACCATACTTGGCAGCGGGATGAGAGCAGAAAGCATAAAAGGGGAACCAAACAAGAGAACACATTCTAACCTCCAGCCTTTTGACGATCTCTTTGATATCATCAATGTTGCTGATGAAGCTCTCCAAAGAAACACATTCACCTCTCTCATAGAATATTTTGATATTTGTGTCCGTTGAAGTCCACCCTATCACATCTCGGCAGGAGCAATTGAATACCACGCTTTTTGTGTCCTGCTCAATGAGGACTACAAACTCGTTAGAGATGCCTAGGAGACAGTCTATTTCCATACCCTTGCTGTAGTCTTTTGCATGGACGCTCCACACAATAGCACCAGAACTATAGATTTCTGCTCCTGGATAAGGCTTGGACTTTTCTTTCTTTTTTGAAGCAAGTGAGATGAAGGGGAACTTGCCAGAAGGGTCAATAGGTGTGTTGGTGACATTCTTCTCTGCCAAGTCTTTCAGGTACTCTTGACGGGTCCTGGTGGCCATCGCACGAAACTTTTCTGATTTGTGAGCAGCGTTCTCTGCATTAATGACTTTGGCTAGTAAGAAGTCCCTGAAAACGTTTGATTTTGGAAATGTGACACCTTTTGGAATAGGTGGCCCAAAGGATGGTACATCTCTAGATCTTGTCACAGCAACACTAAAAGAAATAAAAGAAAAAGGAAGATGCAGAGTGTTTCACTGTATGCAACTTCAGAATTTTTGAAGACAGAAAAATAATTTCATTTTTTTCCTTAACCCCTCAATTTTTCTCTCCTTTTCTCAGCAATATACCTATACTTGTATTTTAATCTTAGCAGTGTGGAGATTATGTCCTCTTTCCTGTATAAAAAGAACGCTACTTATTTTTGCATCTAGGTATTTTTGAGTCATCCTCAGCACCACAGCTTAAAGAGAGCTTCAAGTGCAAAATCATGCTTTTTGATAAAAGTATTCACCTATGTACGGTAGTTCTGAATTTTGTTTTTCCTACAAACAGAAAAATTCTAACACACACTAATAAAAAGGCTAGCTTATACTTCAGCTCCCTAAAGCTGAAATGCTCATCTCCGCAATGCAAAGCGTATGATCAATACTAGAAATATCAATAAAATGGACAGATTAAAAAGATAAAGGCAATCAAGTCATCTCACAAGGTCAGCCTCACTGTGAGAATCATCTGGTGACTAAACGCATATATATACATCACACTACTGATTAGGGTTTAAATTTGTGGATCAAAAACTAGCATGCAATATCAGGTAGTGCAGTCATAGAAGCAGACTCCAAAAAAGACTAGAAATAAGAAATTTCTTAGAAGTTGAGACATATATGAGAAATAGATGCTTCCCTTTTCAACTCTTCTTTTTACTTTCTGTACAAGTGATGGACTGAAAGTAAGATTGCCTTAGGCAACGCCAAGAAGCTTTGCTACTCGCCCTGGTCAACTGTCTTTTGTCACAGAGTGGATGAGAATTATTTGGCATCACTGAAGATTTGCCATTCCAGTCCAGTATCACTCACTTGGCAGTCTGTCCTAGGAGACAGACAACCTGTACTTCAACAGGTTTGTAACAAGAAATGCTCCAACAGTTCAAATCTGAATTACTGCATCTCTATAACTAGATCTAAAAAAGCATTAACTAATTTTGGCCAAAAATGGTGTTTTGGGGTTTTTCCCTATTTGTTTGGGTTTTTATTATATTTTCTAGCAACTGATATTGAAAGATGTCACTGACTGTCGTATTTCCTTCAAATATATGCCAAATAGATCTAAAAGTATGCAACCAGAGATACTCAGGATGCAACCATCTGACTCTTGATCACCTTTAGTGGTCCTAAAGGGTCTGTTATTAAGAGCTAAAAGCCTAAGTGTTAAGCACAATTACTGGATGTAATGAAAAACTACCAAGGACTTTTTGTTTGATTAGGTTTTTAATGTCATAAATCACAGGGATAAGAAATTAATCTTTAACACATGCTAGAGAAGTTTAAAAAAGTGAACAATGCTGACAAAGAAGCCAGACTTTTGAAATATTGTTTATCTTAGTTTGGATGGAGAGTCACTGACTTGATTTTATTCCTTTTATGTAGTTTTTAATGTAAATTCCAGTACATTTTTATGCTGTATGGCTTCCTGTTTTGTCTAGTATTATGAATCTATGAAACCATTCCAAATAATTCAGTGAAAAGACATCAAACTTACTTTGAAAAGTTTCCTAGAAAAGCTTTTCATAATGGAATTCTATAAATTTAAATCAAGTGTTTGCATTGAGAGGACAAAAAAAAGAAAGGATTTTAATCTTAAAGACAGTACACAGAGCATATAATATTCTAGCAGTCTCCTCTGTCAGAACAAACACTGACACTCTCATAATTTTTCCTACCTTCTCCCCCTCCCTTTAAATTTTATATCTGTAGCATTGCTAAAGCTTAAGTTCTCAAATTTTATACACTAATTGTAACCAGTAAGGTTCCAGCATTGTAGGTGTGAACACTTGAAAAATGAAAGTGATTCAGAAGTCTGACGGCCAGAAATAGAACCTCAAGATATTTACATTTACTACAGTGTAAAAAGTATAAAAATCTTTCCCATGCCTTTTAAAAGGAAGAAATTGAAAATATGTAGACATATTATTTAAAATAATAACCAAAAGCAGATATTTCTCTGTGCTTATAAATTCCAATTCAAATGTAAAATGCATCTGTAGCCCTTGTGGATGTATTTCTTACTTTCCCTTTAGTACAGAATCAGTTTCTGTACACAGTAACAGCTGAAACATATGTCTAAAAGTTTAAGAACAAGCTATGTCCACACAAATTAAAAGACAGTGGAATTTGTTGATAAGGTGCCTTAAAATGAGTATCAACATGAACATGCCTCCTCCAGGAGAGTTTACTCCATGTGCAAAGCTCAGCATCAGTTCCAGAAGCACTGTGAGCTTTATCAAAAACTTTACGGGGAGGGAAAAACCTTTAAACCTTACTATATCTACTTGAAAAACATGAACACACCGTCTTAAGACACTTCAGTCTTAGCTCTTCCTCTAAACATGCACTTCACTGCATAAAGGACTTAAGTGAACATTTGTATTTTAATGAAGACAAGTTAATTCTAAGGCTACCTCATTTCAAGATAGCTACTCTAATTCCATTACTCTGACATTTCATATTTTGAATAAAGTGGCTTTAGAAATGTATGCTGAGATCATTCAACATTTAGAAAGAAAAATACGTTAAGAGTTCAGGGCATAACAAAGGTAAAAGGTTTCAGGATCATAAGCAGAATTGCAGCTCAGAAAGATGATTTCCACGTACTTTCAAATTTGGTTAAAAATGTATGCTAATTAGGAGTCGCCTTGCGATTCTTTATGTTACTATCAATTACCATTTTCTATTTTAAGCATATTGATTTCAAGGTCACACTAAAATAATGCTCTGGAATTTCTTTGTTGGACTGAAATGAGATAAGAAACAAAGATATTTCAGACAAAGTATTTCAGAGAGCGTAGCCTCTTTCTGAAAGGTTAGTCCTACTCTTTCGCTGTCTTAATTTCAAAACCAGAACATAAGCTCAGATGCCTAAATAATCCACACAAGAAGCGAATTTGTAAGAATCAAAATAGAAATACTCTTCTAGAATACTCTTAATGAAAAGAATAAAAAGGAAGTGCAAATGGAATTTTGAAATAATTCCCAAATGCTTGATTATACATTTATGTGTGTGCACACGCATACTGACAGCATTAATTTCCTCACTAGGTGTGTTTCCTAAAGGAAACATACACTCCTGTGTGTTCATCTACTTTTTAAAAAGCATTCTATACTCACATCACCCAAAAATCTCCTTGACTCTTTCCTTTCATTGTATTTCCCTACTGAGAATTTGAAAGAGGAATGGCACTTCCCGTTGTAATCAAATGACATGTTTTCAGCGAAACCAGCGAGAGCTACCTGTAACAAACGCTGTCAGTACAGGGACCATGCACTCGTACAATGACAAAGACGTGCTGGAAGTGGGATCGAATATTCTTTGGGCTGAATGGTTGTGCTCCAGGCTCCTGGAAAACTATTGTCACAATATCATTTCCAATATGTCGTTTTCTCAGAAGCTTTAAACAAAAAAAGATGCATAGGTTAAAACACAGTCTCTTTACAAATTTCAATTATTTATTCCTCATTAGTATAAATTACTATTATTTAATTTAATTTTATTTTCAAATGATACATCAAGCTGAAATCTGAAACCATTGGGGATTTATGACAAGTACCAGAACATTAGTTATTTATTTAATCAAGAAGTTCTTCACAGAGAAGGTGGTGAAGCACTGGGACAGGTTGCCCAGAGCTGTTGTGGATGCCCCATCCCTGGAAGTGTTCAAGGCCAGGCTGGATGAGGCTTTGAGCAACCTGGTCTAGTGGAAGGTGTCCCTGCCCATGGCAGGGCGGTTGGAACTAGATGGTCTTTAAGGTCCCTTCCAACCCAAATCCTTCTATGATTTTCATATTTTCTACATGTAACATACAAGAAAATCTTGTTAGGGAAAACTTTAGGCTAAACAAAGCAGAAAAACAACGAAGATTTGCTAGCATCAGGGTAATCAGTGATACATGGAAGCTGGAAAACACTTGCCACTTCAGACATTTGTACAAGCCAGAAGTATGTTTTGTTTCAAGTTGAAAATAGTTGAATTTTCCTTAAGCCATGCTGTAATAATTATCTGATAGGCGTCTTCCAGTAAATCCAAGACTACAGTAGATGAGGAAGGTGAACTACAACGTAGTATGATATTTAGTGTACAAAGGCAAACTAAAACAACCTCTGTGTTACCTTTCATTGCTAAAGGAAATTTCTGTTTTATTTGCAGAAACACACAGTAACATCGCTTTTGGAGTAAAATGCATACACATCATACACAGGACAGCTTAGTATTTAACAAGACTGTATTTCAGAGTAACAAAGCAGGTCAGCTTACACAGCTCTTCAGTCTAATAAAAAAGTTTAAAATAAAATAAAAAAAATTATTTTGCCTCATGTCTTCTTGTGTTTTGTGCCAGACCACCCACTTGTCACCTCTGACTCTATGCATATCACAGTTTGCTGAATGCAATCCTTAAAGGGCAATGGACTTAGCTGCAGAAGGCTGAAAATCATGTCAAGCACACTACTGTTCTTTTGACATAACATATGAACCCTTATTTATACAACACAGATGTAAATATTATGCCACAGTGTCAGTAGCACATCAAAGTTTCAGTAAGTAATGCATGATTAAATAGAACACAGTCCTATGGTGAAAAAAAAAAAAATCTACCTATGATGTACCTACAATGATCTGCTTTGCTTATACTCCTGACACAGAGATGGCCAGTTTAATTTTCGATACTTTTGATTCTTTAACTGTTTTCTTTGCTAGTAACAAATGAAAGTTGTCATAAATATTTAATAGTTCAGCTACTTTAGACATGGAGGAAAAATTAATTCTAAACAGGCATGTTCCATCTTACCTGTTGCTTGTTGTTTGGAGTGTATGGCAACATGGTAGAAACGTGGAACATGATTTCATAGTCCTTGTATGTTGTGTATAGAGAGTGAGTACCTGTTGAATCAGCTTCAGTTAAAGAAAAAAAAAAAGAAAAGCATTATTTAAAAAAAGTTTTAAACTAAGGCTTCATTATTATCAAAGAAAATCATCAGGCAAGACAAGAATTCCTACTCATCCTTGATCCCAGTTGAAATGTCAGCAATTAAAAACTTACCCAGAATTTATTCACCTGCCAAAGTAAATGACACATAGTTGGCACATTTAATTTTGCATACTTTTTCCAATGAAGAACTTGTTAGGAATAGGGAATTTATACCAGAAAACCCTGAACAAAACCTATTTAAGCACAAAAAGTAATAACAAAGTCTGAAATAAAATTAGACGCTACCCAATCTCTCAGGCTAAATGGAATGAAACTGAACTGTAAGGAATGAGAAAAGGACTTCAGAAAAGGAGGGTAGACAGATACGGCGGATACCATGATATCATGCATAAATAAATATCAATGGACATATAACCCACAACATATGAAAGAACAGAATGGGGTTTTTTAAACATAAATATCAGGACTCTAAATTAACTGTAATGAAGTGGGATAAAACCTTCACTACAACAGGTGCTTTATGGGTAAGAAGCAATCAGAAACCCAAACAGGATGCTAGCATGCTTACAGATGATGATGGAAAAAGCCCACAACAATGACATTATGATGCTGGCATATTAATCAAAGGTAGTCTCACCTGTTATGGGTTCTGGCCACCCTATTTTAAAAGTTATAGAAGAAAGAGAAGGGATCCAGAAACAGGCCACAAAAATAATTATACGTGGATGGTGAGACTTCCATGTGGAGAGAAAATGATAAAAACTAGGATTATGAAGTTTAGAAAGAAAAAAAAATAAGAGGGGATATTATTACAGTTTACAAAGTGTTGATTGAAGACAACACCTGATTACAGACAAATTGGGAACTTATGTTTTTATGTTTTCTTTCTCAAAAGAAAAAAGACCTCAAAAGAGTTCCATTAAGTAGTAACACATTTTAAACTGAAATAGTGAATATATTCTATTATATGTAACTGATGTCCACATTGCAAAAAGCTCATTTTCAAACAGAATTTTAAAAATAAGTAGATTTATAAATGGAAAAAAACCATCCTGGTTATTTGAAGTTATATAAATATGCTATTATATTATATAATCCCTGCTATTTATAGCAATGTATTTTAAAAAGCTGTTAAATACTACACCCTGCCATTTTTTTTTAGCAGAGAGAGCATGTTACTAAGGAGATAATAGCTCTGAGATTTGTGAAGCATTTACAATACCATAAATACACAGTTTATTTACCTAGATTTTGGGTATAAGGTCTGACAAGAAGTTCTAGTTTTCTGTCAAATTCTGAATAATAAAATAGAGGTAGCTTTGCTGTAAATGAAAAAACGCAACATCATCCATAAAATTAAAAAGTTTTCTACACTGCGGCTGCATGGAGATTTTGCATATTTTCAAATAATTTCTATGGAATAAAATCGGAATTAGAAAAAAAAAAAAAGAGATTACTAGAATGTTATGTAAAAAAATCTCAGTTCATGTTTCAAGGAGATCCGGCTCTCTTTTCCAGCACAACGCTGCCATTACAAAAACCAAGATGCTAAATATTTTCTTTTTAATGCTAATGACAACAGCAGGACAGCTGAAAGAGGATCATTTCACCTCACACTCAGTTCACAGCAGCCTCTATCCTCTGCCTGATCATCACAATACACACAGAAGGAGGCAGATGCTCCTGAAAGTCACCAAAACAACAACATCACTCCTTACTGACACTTTTTTCTTTTTCCTAACTGTACATATGCTAGTTAGTACATCATCTTTCATAAACAGAGCACACAGAATTATTACAAAGAACTTGAAAGGGGGAGCAGGTGCAAAGAGAAAGGGAAGTGAGTAGTACAACAGGCAGGGGAAGGGAGGCCCCCAAACAAGGAGAAGGGGCCCAAAAGGAGTTGGGGGAGGAGACAAAGGATAAAGCAATTCTGACAAATACTATGTTAGAACAACACCTATGCATTTAAGCCAAACTTTCAACTTTCCTGGATGGACTTAATTTCAGGCAGAAAAGGGTTCTCCCTCAGAACAGCACTGGTTCTGCAAGCTAAGTCGGAAGGCTACAGTCCAAATAACACATTTAATGACGACAGTTGTTTCCAAGTATTTCACAGCTTAAATCCCTGTTATTCAACTCCAACTACAAACCAAAGCCCATACCCACCACAGACCACGCATCTTTCTCACCATTCACATTTCTTCTTTCTTACAAGCCCAGAGTACTACTTCTGAAGTACAACACAATAATTACAGGTGGTTGCTTGAAAGCAAACTGCTGCCATTGCAGTCATATCCATGACTGTGCGGTTGAATAGTATTCATCATTTTAAGGTCAGAACTGTAAACCAGCACTGCAAGCTACTTCGATTTCCTTGTATTTCACAGAATCCCGAGGGATCTACAAATTCATTAGCCCCTTTTTACACTGAAGACATCCCCTCCCTTCCCTCAGTTTAAGGCATACCTATTGACACTGCCTTTGAGGCAGGAGAAGGAACAGCCATTGACACAAACTGCAGATTAAAGGCATAAGAACACGAAGTTTCAGAGCTTCATGTTACCTCCATCTAGCACTGCTGCTAAACACCCCTGCCTTACTTCTAGTTTCTCTTAGTTACCAGCCCAAATTCAGCACTTGCCAAACTCGCTCTCCTTTCTGCTGTACTTCTACATACAAGGATTAAACCACGTACGTTCAACTTCTGTAATATACAGGCTGTTTTCAGGCACTATTTCCAAGGCCAGAATCTTTTATTTTGTAACATACAAAAGTATATGTGTAACAAACAAATGCAGATGGACATGCCCTCATCCCCATTTCTGCTTAAGCAATCCAGGAACCACTGACCACCTCTGACTATGGGCCTCCCAGTGTATGCCTCAGACCCAACAATTAGGCTATTCTTAACCTCCATGTGGTTGAAAATATGTTAAATAGTGCACGTTAAGCAGTCTAGGTGAGCTGTCTGTATTATTTCATTAGAAACATTGTGGTATACTGACAACCCCTAAATTAAACATCAATTTGAAGTCCATTCATTCCCTATTTTTAATCTACTTCACATATCCTGTGCTAGTTTCATATTATTCTAACGTCTTAACCAAAAAGTCATGTAGTATAAACATCTAATCCGGAAAGCTACCATTATTAGCCAAGTTTATTATCTCATCAAATAGGTTCTTCATAAATTCCTACAACTCATATTAACTAGTATCTTTTATTTTCTGCACCAGGCACTCCATCACTCTGCTGGACACATACACCAGGTTACCAGGCCTAGCATTATTCAGCTGATCCCACTCACCAATTTCAAATATTGAGAAAGATGACTGAGTGAGGGGGAGGGAAATAAAAGATGCGTTACAACTAGAAGACAAAGTAAAATGACTGAAGCTATAATGTGAAAGATTACTGCGATGTTTATTACTTTATAGTGATGCCCATAAACATCCTAGCAACCATGGGAGAGATGACATTTTATTTTCAAGCTCTATTTCCTATCCAAAGTCTGCAGGCTGCCAGGAGATAGACTGCTTCCCCTCTGGTAATTCTAGAAATACACAAACAAAACTTTAAAAGTAGCAGCTCTTTTCCATAGTGGCTCTGGCAGAGATCCAAAGCTGAAACCCTTGAAGAATCCAATATACTTAAATAGACTTTCAGTTAATAGGATGCGTAACATACTTCCTTTTCAAAATTGTTTCTGTTATGGATACTTACCAATTAGGCCCCTAATTCTAAAAAACTCTAAGAGCAACTCTTTTGAAACTGCCTTTTGCTAGAGCAACTTTACTTTCCCAAATTTGCATAAATTACAAATACCTTGCAAAAATTTCCAGAGTACATATACAAATCAGCTTCTGTCCACGCTGAGAAAATCTTTCCTCCTGCCTTACATCATACATCTGCTTTTTATAGGTAGCAAAGTGGTATCAAAGGTACAGAAACTAGCCAAGTAGCCTACATAGCTCTGACCTTTCTTGCAAGTTACTGAACACACATTTGTTTTTAACAGCATCTTCGCAATCAACTGGGCTGACATTAAACAGAATTTTATGCAGAAAAATTTCCTGAGTAATGAGACTGCAAGCACTATTTCATGACAGTTATCTCCAGCAACAGAAAAGCACAGAGCTAGAAAAGGGAGAAGCTTGCTTCCTAGCTGCAGACCTAGCTGTTTCAACAAAACCCTATAAACCTAAGTCATGGTAAAAACCACAACCTTCCCCTTTGCAGGTTTCTGTTTTAGGTCCAAGGCAGAAAAGACCGATGGATCACTCGGGGTATCTATCGAAGATAGCTGCCTGTCTGTGTTCTGCTGTTCACATACTCCCCATACCCGACACGCAGCCCTTGCGACCATCTCTGGTCATCAGCATTCTGCCTACCACAAATATGCTGTTTGCCTACACAAAAAAACACAATAAGGGCTTCCGAAGGCATCTACTCAAAAATCTTAGCGCTGTGCCCTCAAAAATCACCTTTTCTTCCACTACTTCCAGTCTGCACTTTGCATACCGGCAGAAAGGAAAACACAGCACCATCAAGACCAATTACAAAAGTCTGTTGCCATTGTTCACACTGCTGCTGTCTGAACGTGCTTGTTGAGAACTCGTGTGTGCTCTGCAATCGCGTGTCCCCTCAGTGAGCCTGCAGACAACGGAACCCACAAGATTTCAGACAACTTCGGGGTTCCTAAGCAGTTCTAGCTGATGAGATCCCACACGTGTGAGCTTGTAAACCCTGACTGGAAGAAAACGTTGGAAACCCTTCTTGAAGGCTGCTGTTTCCACTCAGAGCATCCCCCTTCCACTCTGACCACAGTGAACATGTAAAGCCTCTTGATTTTTTTATTTTTTAGATACAGAATAGAGCTAGTAGGTCAACTGGGCAATGTGAAAAAAGACACGTCAGCTCTCAATGTGGGAGCAGAAAACTTCCATTACAAGATGACAACTCTTAAAACCAGGAGAGATTCAGACAGTTAAAAGTTTACATATGTGTCCATTCAACAGATGCTACATTGTAGTACATAAAACCAAAACCTGACCAAATTCTGTCCCCAGTTAGAAGCAACAAGAAGGAACTCAAACATTACTGGAAAATTCTTCAGAAGAAAATTTCAAAGTAGTACTTAAGACACAGTAACAGCTTTCATGGGTATATCTGGGCAGATGAATCAACTCTTAATCATACAGTATTTACATGTACTAGAAACCAGTGCGTGTGGACTGTCACCAAAAAAGGTTTGGTTTTTTCAGATGTCTTAACTAAACCAGAAGAAAGGGAAGAAAGGATTTTACTTCAGCTACTGTAAGTAACAAGGAGGCCACAGTATGAAGCCAGAAGTTATGAAACAATAAATATTTTCTCTCATTCACATACACATTTGATTTTTGACCTAACTTATTCTTATAAATGATTAAATAACCATTTTCAGAGCTGCAGAAAAGGACAACCCAGCCTAAGAATTATTACATACTGTATTTCTAGTAAAGGCAAAAAAACGTTACAGCTAGAAACTGCCTGAATCTCACCTGGACTCATGTATATAATCCTAACCACTAAAATTAAAGAGATTGAATTCAAACTTGGACAAGTGCAGGAGAAGGTCACCAGGTAATGCTTCATGGGGCAAGGGGGAGAAATCCACACCTCCCATACCATAAGAGAGACTTAGCTTATTAAGGACAACATTACAAAAGCATAGGAGGCAACTGTAACGTGTAAATGCACTCAAGGGAGTAAATATAACAGATGCAGTGTAAGTACTGCAACTAAAAGAAAGCAGGCTTAGTGGTAAATGTGCATGAAATAAGTATTAATTTAGGTTTAAACCCACAGGAAGTCTTACAACCCCCTGACAAGTGATGATTAGGCTGATGAAGAACAGCCTGAAGAGACAGCAATGTGATCCCTGTAAAAATCCAGACATCAGGTAGAATGGTGGAGCACTAAAGCACAGCAAGTTACTGTATTTGTGATGGAAGACCCATGGCAAGAGCACAGCTTGTGCCGCACTGAAGTTGATGAATGCTTTTCAGCATCCATGAATCAACTCATTATTTAATTTCCTTTGTTGAAAGTGAGTAAAATAGCAAAATATTTCCATAGGAACTGGTTAGTTCCAATACTCAAAGGAAGACAGGCCAAAATTTCCCCCCTGAGCATTTTAAAATAGATTTAGAAATCAAATCACTAGCATGTGCTAGCTGATAAACGGGTATTTCACAAGCTTGATTCCAGAAGTAGGGAGTTTCTTTTACAGGTAAGATCGTCTTTCTGCTGCATTTTTGTTGCAATATATTTTTCAGTTAAAGCTGATAACGTAACAGCCAAATCCAGTTTAATTTCCATAACTCAGACAAAAACCCATAGAGGGAGAAATACATTTGATAGCAGAAGTATCACAAAACTGCCTAGAAGAAAAAGTACATGCAACAGATACAGCAGAAAAGCAATAGACCAACTTGTCAAGGTGGAGTTACATGGATGGGTTCTCAAAACTCTTTCGGTGACAGTCTATTAGCATATCAGATAAAAAAAAATGTAACGTACCAACTGTGTTATTATTCTTTAGGCAACACCGATGACGGATTTGCAGTGCTGATAATGGTTCCATAGTTGCTGGTTTCTTGTTGCAGCTTTAGTGATAATTTCATAACAAATCAGTAAAAAACCCCAGTAATTATCAGAGTTGAAAGGCCATATGGTACTGGTCAAATGACATACTTGCTCTGCTTCCACTTCTAATACTGAGCAAATGTTTTCCTATAGCCAGGAGGTTATTTTTAAAAATTCTTTATAAAAAAGTCAGTTAGCAACCATATGATGTATTTTGTTCACTTAAGGGAAAAAATGACAAAGTCTTACTTTTTGTATCCAGCTGAGCACGATACTTTTCAAATCCCTTGAGTCGAACTCGTTCTCCCAAGAGCTGAAGAAACTCTTCAAAGGCTGGACCTGCTGACTCGTTATTATACATTTCCTCTTCTGTGCTCTGCCCGGCTTTGCAGTACATGATACCCACCTTAAGCTGGTAACTTAACTGCAGAGGAAAAAAGAAGAATATCTTATATGTACACCAAGTGATGCAGCAACTTATTTACTGAATTCACATTTTTTAATGAACCCATAATTCACCACCAAAAAAAAACCCCTAATTATCAGTCTCATTTCAAATGTTATTCTAATTCCAAATACTCTCATCGTTTTCCACTGTTAATTGCCTTGATGATGGCGTATCTCATCAGAAGGTGTCAAAATGCTTTCTGATGTTCCTTATTTTCAGGATGACAACACTGCAGCTGGCAAATGGTGAATGTCTTACATTAAGCCATGAGGAAAACGCTGCCTGAGTAATGCCAGGAACTTGACTCTCGCTCTTAGGCTGGTACCATGGTTACTATCCTATGCTAAACCTTCCACGCAGAAGGGTAGGCACAGCATGTGCTCAGTTCTATAATAAGTGACAAAATTAACATTCCCTCACTTCAAAGAGAAGACAAAAATTATTCACCTATTAGTGCACTCATCTGTTTGCAACGCAGAAAGAGTCCGTGGCATTCAGTTGGCCTTCTCTGACTTAAAAATGTAGTAACAAAGAAAAGAGCTGAACTGAGAAATGCTGGTAATACTTTAAAGATACCATTTACTAGCACAGGCTTTCAAATATATTCATACTTCTCTTTTCTTCCACTTTTCCTCTAATTTGGTGTTTGATGTTCCTAATACAGCAGAAACTGAAGATGTCAATAAAGTAATTTTTTACCCAACCATAACTGTGATTCTTCAAAGCAAACTCTTCCCACCAATTCCAAATTGATGCACACACAAAAAAGACCACATCCGTCCCCTTTATGTCTGGACTACAAACACAGAAGTTACAGAAGGGAAGCAAGCAGCATCCACAGCCATTTACTGCCGCCTCCAAAACCAATTTCACAGGCAGGAACTCTGATGGGCAGAGTGCAAAGCAGAGTCTTGGAGTTCACACACGTAATTCATCTAGTAAAAATGCATACTTGTTGCAGGGTACATAATCTTTCCTCCCACTCATGAATTTTTGCAGAGGCTCCATTTTAAACAAATACCAAGTAGATCTGCCAGAGCAAAATCACAAGCAAGCCTATTGAAGCTGGCATGAGATTTACAAGTTTGGGCCACAGGTTAGTGGGAAGTGAAAGTAGTTATTTGCAAGGGCACTGAAGGCAGTGTCATCTGAATATACTGTGGTTTGCTCTTCAAGCTTCTATCACAGGTCATGAGACAAAAGTTGGAACTTGCTGCTGGGATGATGTGGACACGTAATTAAACTGAAATTCATTATTTTTAACTTCTATTTACGGTGGGATAATTTAGAAGCCCTCAGTAGTAGTCCTACTCTGCCTCTAACTGAAGTAGATTGTAAAATTAAAAAACTCAGAAAATTGCAACTTCACTTTATTCTTTTACAACCAAGGATAAACGGTGACAGAGATAAAGTATTAGCAGAAGGAAAATAGGAGGCAAAACCAGAAGAATAAAGATCAATGTGGTTTGATTACTCCTATTAAAGAAGTTAAGCATGTGTAATGAGTCAGAGTTGAGGTTGTTTCTTCTTTCCCCTCCAGAATGTCCTTTATTCTGTCATTTGATCCAATGACTACCTGACTCGCACATTCTAAATGTGTCTGAATTTCTTATGATAAAATCTGAGTACAGCATAGAATCATAGAATGGTTTGGGTTGGAAGGGGCCTTGAAGACCATCTAGTTCCAACCCCCCTGCCATGGGCAGGGACACCTTCCACTAGACCAGGTTGCTCAAAGCAGCCTGGCCCCCGTCCAGAGAGGGGGCATCCACAGCTTCTCTGGGCAACCTGTTCCACTGTCTCACCACCCTCTCTATGAAGAATTTTTTCCTTACATCCCTAATCTAAATCTACCTGCTTTCAGTTCAAAGCCATTACCCCTCATCCTGTCACTACACTCCCTGATAAAGAGTTCCTCCTCATCTTTCCTGTAGGCCCCCTTTAAATGGAAGGCAGCTATAATGACTCCCCAGAGCCTTTTCTTCTCTTCTCTAGGCTAAACAACACCCAACTCTCTCTGCCTGTCCTCATCTCAGTTTATTGCTTACAAAAGAAGCATTCACAGCCTGTTGTGGTTAAACCCCAGCCAGCAACTAAGCACCACACATCTGCTCGCTCATCATCTCCCCCCTCCCCCAGTGTGATGGGGGAGAGAATCAGACGAAAAGGTAAGAAAACTTGTAGGTTGAGATAAGAACAGTTTAAGAATTGAAAAGAAGTTAAATAAAATAATGATACTAATCATACTACTATTAATAATGATAATATATAATGGAAAATCAATAACAAAAACCCAACCCCCAACAACTGCTCACTGCCACTGACTGACACCCAACCAGTCTCTGAGCAGAGAGAGAGTGTGCATGTCTCCGTGGCCAACGCCCCCCAGCTTATACACTGAACATGGCATTTTATGGAATGAAATACCCCTTTGGTCAATTCGGTCAGCTACCCTGACTGTGTCTCCTTCCCAGCTTCTAGTACAGTAGATGCTGGGAACACAGGGGCAATGAAAAACTAAAAATGTCTCTCTTATTGTAAACACTGCTTGGCAACAACTAAAAACATTAGTGAGTTGTCAGCGTTCTTCTAAGCACTAATCCAAATCATAACCTCATACTAGCTACTGTGAAGAAAGTTAACACTATCCCAACTAAAACCAGCATGTAGGCCAACTTCAAAAATTGCAACTGAAAGGAAAAAATAAAATAAAATCAATTTTGTGCCTTGAAGTAATGTTTCCGTTTCCTTTTCTTACACCTTTAAGTATTGGAAATGCTTTCTCTGTAAATGTACAGGAAACATGCTCTTTGAGCACTAGAAACCCAACCAAGAGCATTCACCTTTAAGACTGAAGGCTGCATATCTTGGGCACTGAAGTATCAGCATGTAAAGCAAATATATTCACTGGTAAAGAAAAATATTGAGCACATATAAATTAAGGTTACAATTTATTATTACGATTATTTAACTCCCCATTCACTTAGAAAATGCAAAACTTCAAAACCATCAGTGTACAGAATGCTCTAAACAATCCAGAAGCAGCTGGATGGCACATGCTTTTTTTAAATTTAAAAAAAAAAATGCTTCTACATGGCAACTGTTTGACTAAGATTTAAATTTTCTCAGGAATCAGGGGAGCCTGATGACGTTTGCAGGCACATTTCTACGATCTGCTTAATTAACAAACGACGCAACCCCACTCGCTGCAAGCTCATTGCTTCACAGCAGCCAAACTTACTGCCGCGGCCAACAGGGCTATGTACTCTCACAGAGAACCTGGATCAGCTACGTATGGGAAGGGAGGAGAGAGAGGAAGGGTGGTGAGAGGTGGCACTGACACCGTTTTTCTGCCATTGCTTTCCGTATCATTAGTAGCAGGTCCTGTCTTGGACTGCTCAGGCAACATTTGTTGTTCAGATATGTTTTCTGTCCAAGGAAAGATGATGGATGGAAGTGTTTCATGGACCACAATGCCTTAGCTGCACTGCTAATTACGAAAGTTCCTGATAATTTTACTTAAGACAAAGAAAACCATTCTCACCAAGCACACCCACACTATTTGGGCTTCAGTTTCAGGTGAAGGAAGTATTTTCAAGAGCATAAACATAAATGGGATCTGCAGCATCCATATGCAAACAAACAACTGTCATTTATTGCTTTGAAAATGTCAGCCTAAGAAACTAAATAAGGACCATGCAGAAAGCAGGATATGCCTTCTAGCTATGTTCTTAGATTCGCTGAACTTCAAAAAAAGTTTCATATGGACAACATAAGTTGGTATTTCCGAATCAAAACAAGTGGATATGGGGGAAGGCAGGCATGGACTCCCCATTACCACACCTCCTGACAAATCTAGGGTCCTTAGAACTGTATTAACTCCAAGTAAAAGCCAAAAAAGGAGTTGAAGGATGAATTCTGCTGTGGTAGAACTTGTAAAGTAGCAGTTTCATTTTAATAATCTAAAAGTATTTACATATTTGTACATGTGGTAAAAATGCACTTCAAGTATTTGTCTAGCACCCAGTGAAAAACAGCGGAAAGCATATCTTGGATTTAACCAGTCAGCAAAAGTATATTGTACATACAGAATTACATTAAAAACTGACATTTTGCAGTATTTCTGTGAATGAGGAACTGCCATAAAGCTAAAATTTAAATGGAATGAATCAGTCACTGCCCTGATATTCAAATTTTTAAATCACATTTGGATGTTAACCTAAAGTAAGTTACTGTGAACTCTGCATTCAAGGCAAAGATTAGTAGATGGTAATTAGCCAGGAAGCTAGCACAGTCCTACAGAAAGATTGGATTGCTTTTTAACACAGAACCAGTCAAACAAATGCATTTTAATAAAGCCAGTAAAAGCACATCTAGGTGACAAGCATTGTGGGCCATATGTACAAACAGCAGATGTTACCACGAACCTAGCAATCTAAAGGGAAGTGAGGAACATGCAATTTGACATACAACACCAGTACAAAACTGGGAGAAGGAAAATATCCCCATTCTGACACTTGATGTCATATGCAGATATTGAAGGAGAAGAAGATAGAGAGTTCAGCCATAGAAGTGATACGAAATTCACAGAAAATATGTTTCAGTGCAAGACTTGAAAAGTACAATCTGTTTAGTTTATCATAAACAAGACCAACAGATGATTTAATCACTGCATACAAAAAACTTTGCCGGGGAAAAAAAAAAATCTCACACCAAAATGACTCTTTAAGATGTAGCAGAGAAAGATATCAGAAATCTGGAAGCTGAAAGCAGAGAAATTCAAAGAACTGCAAATTCTTAAATATGAAAACAACCAACTGCTTTAAAACCTTACCCAAATATAAAAAAAGATCAACGATCTTAATCAAAACTGATGCATGTGAATTTGGCTCAGTGAAGGGGTTACTGGGTGAAATTTAATGGCTAAGTCAGGCAAGGGTCACTTTATACTCTTAACTCAAATTTACAAAACCTCTCATTTGCTATATCAAACAGGCACCTGTTCGTGCTGTAATGAAACAGCGTGACATTCGGCAAGAAGAAGCGATAAACATTCTGTGTACCTAATTAGTAGAGCAGCTGTTACCCAAATTTTTCTGTTAGCTTGGAATTGATGAAAAATGCAGCTTCTAATTAGTACAGAGTGTGCTTATCTTTTTCTGTTAGAAGTGTCAAACTGTTTCATTACCACAAAACCAGAAAGTACTTTGATGTAGATAATATAATTTTAACTAGCATTTGTCCCTAACGCTTTTCTAAAGTTTAAGTAGCAACAGAAAACCATACTATACACCATATTGTGGGACCTTAATGACATATAGGATTTGAAATAAGGATAATTTAATCTTATGCTTTTTTAGACATAACAAACTTCTGAAGCAAATTATGCTAAATCACTTTTCAAGTTAGGTTTACTACAAATAATTTTGGATTTTTTCTTTTTAAGGTAGAACCTTCTGCTAAATTTTGTTCTTCTTTGTGACAATTTTCCCATCAACACTATTGAGATTGAAGGTTCCTGATGGGCTTATCTGGAATGTATGGAAGGGAGTGATCCTTGCATCCAAAGACTCACTTCGGAGCCATGCTGACTTAATCCCATTTTCTCTACTGCTGAAACTTTTGAAAGAGATTGAAAGATATCCTTGAGTCTTAAAGTGCCTGACCAACTTCTTTCTGGATGAAGGGCAGATTAGGTTTAGCCTAAGGTAACAAATTATAAACACTGAATAAGTGCATATTTGCAATCACTGCTTTAATTACCTAAGGAAAACACACAGGCCTCCAACTTCCTAGGATCTCATCATGTGAAAGAACAGTTACACTGAGCAGCATAAGCACCCAAAGAGCGTCCTTATTTAGCTGGCTATGTGGTAAACCCACCTCCTCTCAACCTTACATGTTCACAGGCTCACTGCAGTGTTGTGCTCTGTGAGAGCCAATTAGCATATGCCAGAGATACAGCTGCTACAGAGTACACTTGAATTTCCTAGAGACATTTAACAAAGTTTTCTCTTCAAAAAGTCTGAAGACCCTAAACAGCCAGCCAGGGTACAGAAAAAGGAACTCACTTAGACATGTAGCTGTCTAAAATACAAAAAGGAGCTGAAGAAAATGATCAGTAGAGTAAGTCAGGGATCTGAACGTAAACATAGGGTATATGACACACACTTTAGCAGTCTGAATGAGGCGATGAACAGTAAGGTCACTATGTTTGCTAACATGACTGAGTTACTCCTCTACAGTGCTGAGCTGAAGACTGGCTATCAGGGCTACCAAAGGAACTTAGAGTAATGGCTAACTGGGCAAAAGAATGGCAGATGGCCCTGGGTGCAAGTAAAGCTTGAAGTGATCCATGTGGTACAAAGATACCCAACTTGCTATCTAGACTAATGAGCTCTGAGTAACACCCCTAAAGAACAGGATCTTAAGGCCTTCATGAAAAGATACTTCTAGTGTTGAGGAGCTGCCATAAAGCAACTAAAAACCCAACAATTATTAGAAAGGGAAGAGACAAGAAAGCACACTAAACCAAAATTTCCTCCCCATTTTCTGAACTGCACTGTTTTAAAATAAGACGTGGGAGAAGAGGGAGAAGAGGGAGGGAACCAGAAAAATGCCAGAGAGGCCAAAGCATTATTAGAAGTAGAGAACAACTTCTACATGAGAAATTACTAATTAAACCAGGACTCATCAAACTGGTAAAGCAAAGGGGTAGGACAGAGAACCCTCTAAAAGCCTACAAGCTTTCAGGGGCTAGGAAAGTACCACTCCATGCTCATCCTGTTCACATATTCTTAGCCAGGCACCCACTGTTGGCCATGGTCAGTGACAGCACTGGGCTGCACCTACCTCAGGCTGACCACGCACAACCACTCCCATGTTAGTATGGATGCTCTGCAATAGCCACAGCTACCCTTTCCTTCATCCTCTTGCATTGTGTTCTCAGTGAACTAGATGAGGTTCTCCAACTAAATGGAGGACAAAGTGTTTTGCTCAAGTTTTGCTTCTCATAGATAATCCCCAAATAATTATCTTGTCCATTTTAGTAACCAAGCCACAAGACGCCTGACAAACAAAGTCTTCGTGATAGTCACTTATAAATCTACTTAGAATATCTACATTCTCTCCCTTGTGGGGCTGATAATGCTTAAACCTTTTTCAATTTTGTCATGGAAACATTAGACTGACAGCAAGAAGAAATAACAACATTGACGTTAATTCTGTGCAGGAAAGGCTGATCATGAGAAACCAAAAAGACCAGGAGAAAGACAGTCTCAGTACTCAGAGCAGATAAATGTCACTGTTGAAGTTTTTAATTGTAAAATTCACTTTACTCAGACTTTCATTTTGCTGCGTCTAAGCTATATAGCTAATGAGCCTCGGTTCCATCGTTAAGAGACCAGGGGACCATCACCTAATTGAAAACCGCTTGTATGAAGAAGGGGCTTTGAATATTTTGCCATGTGGTTTGTTTCAGGGGAATTAAGAAAAAAGGCAAAAAAAGAGACAGGCAGCACCCTGGTAATGGTTGTGCCAATACAATATTACAACAAAACATTTAGTAACATGGGAGATTCCTATTCTCATTTTAATAGCAATAAGAAAACCACAACAGAAGTCCCTCCTCCCCAGTCTGCGAAAAGACAATCTCTATCTTTTTAAAGTAAAGGAAAATGGAGAATCACCATAACATTAATCAAAAACTTAAGACTACTTAGAGCAATGAACTTGATTTCATACATACCAAATATACTGCAAAACTTGGGGAAGAGATATGCAACATAACTCTCCCTACAGATGACAAGCTTTAGTTTAAATGAGGCATTTTAACAGACTGACTCTAATCACTTAAAGCTAAAAGATAATTTTGCACTTCATGGCAGTTATCTGACAGTTTAAGACAATTTGTCTCATTCTATAACTCCACACACTTACCCCTTGTTCATCCAGCTTCATAAGCTGTTCTGTGACTTTCGGGGTGTTGAAAGCCAGCCGCAGGCAATGGATATTCAGCTCAGGAACCACATACTCAAGCACTTCTTTTAGGGGAAGTCCCCTGGCTGTGCAATGCTTTGCAGTTGAAGGGATGGCATCTTCCAGCACAGAGCCTCTTAATGTCATAAGCTAAGCATCCAAAACAGAAATAGCTTGTATATTGAATTATGCAGGGAAAAGGTTGATTAGCAATAGCAGTGGAGCGAAACATACTATCTGTCCAATTCTCAGTAGAGATTGAAGACATTAAGTGACCTATGTTGCGTGAAACAGACACTGATACACAAAACATCTCTCACTGATAGCTAACAGTAGTCAGAATTTTTGAAATGATTCACCAGATTAAAGTTTTACAGGAAATTCCTGAAAAATATTAGTGGTAGTATTTCCAGCAGAACATGTCAAAGTATAAAAGTGTGCTTCTCAGGTCTACCCACTGTCACATGTAGATTGGAGGAAGCAATTTTCCTCCCCTTCGGTTGCTTCTAGCTAACATAGTTCCTGGAAGTTTCAAGCTTTAACCAACACAACCTTCAGTTTCCTCTGTATTGGATATTATGGAATAACTCACTCACTGATACACTTATTCTGTGAAACAAAACATGCAGCATAGCTTTATCAGGAGATTCCTGGATTATGTGTGTGTAAAGGAGACAGAAATGAACTATCAGCACTGAAAAGCACACAAACCTCACCTCACCACAGCCCGTTTTGCCTGTTCACTTTCTAACCTTTCACCCTGTCGTTCCCCAACCGCTCACCTCACTGGTTCTGAAGATGATCCGGTAGTTGTACTGAGGTCCGTTTTCTTTGATTTCCTCTGGCTTCTCTCTTCTTATACTCACAGCTACTGGACCAAGGTTCTCATCTGCCCCAAAATAGTTCCAGTGTTCTTGCATAAAGAAAAAACACCACACAGTCCATCTTACTTCTTACACTTCAACTATATTTTCACATTTAGTTGTTATATTAGAAATTAATTGCCAGCTTTACTAGAGTCAGTAAGAGCATATTTTCAGTGGTACCAGGATTTCATTCCTGTGCTTCAGTTCTATAATGAGCTCCGCTTATCCAAGGTGGCTGAAATTCAGCGTTGCATCTCTGCCTAAACAGGCCTAAACCAGGATACACCTCGTACATTGGCTCTTACACTGAAATCTATTTCATTCACACTGAGTAAGTGCAACCAATTTCCCCCCCTTAAAAATAGAAACGAGGAAGCCAAACGCACTGAAGTGGGAAACTCACCACTCCTTGTTAAAATGGGAGCACCAAAGTACTTAGCAAATGACGTAACAATTATTTTTGTTTGGAAAAAGAGAAAAACAATCTAGCAAATTACTCAATTATAAATGGGGAAAATCTGATGAAGCTGAAAAAAGTTGAAGACTTGTTCATAGTAAAAAAAATAATAATCATAGTACCATAAAGAAAACAGTACAAGAAACAAAGTGACTAGCGTAAACATCTAACAGTGAAGTGTCAAACAACCCTAAGACTAAATCTGAAGTGCCAAGAGCTGAGTCTGAAACTAGACCAGAGGATGGCAGAAAGGAGAACAGAGCTTGAGAAACTGCTCACTAGCTAAACAGTAGATTAAGATACATTTTTATATTTCTTTAACTATACACATGTAAAGCCAAGCTTTAAATGAAAAAAAAAAAATTAGAAAAGTGCATTTACAAACATTAAAGCTCAACAATTTTAAGAGATTGGTTTGACAGCTCTTCTATTGAGCCTTCTGAGCATTATGAACTATTTTGACTGATGACAGAGGTACATCACCATGGAACCAGCAACATATAAACAAAGTGGCACATATCTCAAGTGCTAGCAACTGAATTTAAACATATGATACCTGAAAATTTAAGAGGAACTCTCAAAAAAATAGAAGTCAAGCACTGTACAAGAAAAGTAAGTCCAATGTCACCACTTGCCATATGCTGCATATAAGGATGAATTTATATGTGCACAAAAATAGAAAGTTAGAGATATCTGAAAATTCAACAATTCAAGAGAAATGTGATTCAGTGGAATGAAAGAACTCATCTATCTAACTGCCCTGAAAGGAGACTTACCCATACTTCCTGAACTACTATATGTAGATTATTTATTATTCTTAAAACAAACAGAAATTTAAAACAACTTTAAGAGCAGTGTAATATAAGCTATCCTGCTATAGGAAACAAAAAAGTGAAATATTTTAATATCATCATCAAGAACTGTATCTTTAAAGATACTAAAATTAGATAATGAAATACACTCCACCCAAAGTGAATGGCAGTCATTTTTTCAATTAATTTTTCAATCACTTGTGATGTTAAAAACTTGAGTGCCTCATTTTTTATTCTTTTTTATATCATACATACTGGTTCTTGCTATACTTTTCTCCAAGACACTAAATGCTTTTCAAGTTGGTGCTCTCTCCTTATGAACCTTCTTGTGTCCTAGAATTACACCTTTCTGTTCACGCAACTGTCCATTCCTTTAAGCCCTTGGGTGCTCTATTCTATTTCCCAGTATCTGGGAATTTATTACCTTTTCCTCAATGTTTTCCATTTAAGACCTCACAGCATGCGACAAAAGAAATGGGCACAGCATTGTAACACTTGCTTTCTACCAAATTCCTCTGCAAGTCATCAAAAGCCAACACTCTGCGCAGAGGTAATTAAGATTCAAAATTCTTCTAGTATCTTCTGGAATATCCTGTAAATATTGGTGTAAGTTTTGGGTGACTGAATTAGTCATGAGTGGGGAAATGATGAATAAATTAGACCATCCACATGTGCCTAATTAAATCTTTATACTACTTCACTGATACGAGCCTTGTAAATGCCAGAGAGATCTGTTGTTCAAAAACTCAAAGCATCTAATTAGCAACCCAGCTTTTCTTCTTCTTCCATTAAGTAACTTGCTTTTTTCTGGACTTTCATAGGTCACCAAACAGTTTGTGGCAGAGACGGTCAGTGAAGAAGCAGAGTCAATGAGAACGTGAGATCAATCTTCTATCTGCATATTATACAGCTTCCATAACCTGAAACAGTTTAGCCATCTCCACACTAAACTGCTTAGTGACTTGAAAACATTGAAGTACCCTTCCTACACAATAGAAAATTCTAAAGAAAAAGGTACGTTGGGAACATATACTTGAAGGGTCCAAAAATTACATTAAAATTACATTAGTATTCTGTAGCAAGAACTGCACAGATAATAAAATTTCTAAGTCTTGTAACCAGTCTAGCCTGCAATTCAAACAGAGCGTTTTCTCAAGAGAAATTATTCTACATTTTGAAAATACATTTAGGAAGGCTACTAAGACGAATGTTTGAAGCTGCATGAAAACACACAAAAGATTCTGTATCATTTAAGCTTTATTATCTAGCTCCTATTTATTTGGAAAAACGCACAGAGAAGTGTGGAATTTTACACTTCTCTACTAATAAGAAATGTCTTTTATCCTCTTTCCCCTCACTGTACACTGGGCAGTTGTCTATCACCTGGGCATCTCCTCAGTTCTCTCTCCTATTCACATTGTCCTCTATTCCCATTTACTACAGGGTCATTCATTCTTGACCTCCGTCCGTATTCTTTTTCCTCCTCCCCCCACCTCTGTATTCATTCTGCAAGCCACAGTGTATACCCCCATATCTGACTGCTTTTCCCTACGCTACACAGTTTCTTCAATCTCTACCTGATTTTCCACTACATCCTGAATTTCCTGGCATCCAACCATTTTCTGTAGCAGGAAAAGCAGTAGCAGAATTTAAGTGCACAAAGCTTAAAATCCAATCTAAAGGTAGTTAATTAGGGGGTTTATTATAAAAACAAGGGCTACTTCACAACTAAAGTTACCCGAGAGGTTAGAGATC